TAGCCCTGTTTTGCAGCTGAACATACCAAAGCACAGAAAAATTAAGCTAACCAAGGTCACACTGCTAGTTGGAGCCTCCCTGGGAGTGTCACTCCCAATTACACAATGGTTCAAAGACCGAAATAGTTTTCAAAGATGTGAATATACAACAAACAGGACTGTGTAAAAAACGTCCTTACTTGCAAATCAGAGTACGGAAAATAGAAATTGTTGATACTGGGAGATCCAAGTCATTAATTTGTATCCTTTCACTGATAAAGCATCTACTTTAAGATCCTGTGAAGGAAGCTATGTGATTTAAAAAGGAAATGGTACTAGCTCCAAAGAGATTTGGTTTGTGTCCCAGTTCAACTGCTTACAATCACCTTCAGGTGGGAGCGCTTAACCAGGCTCCGCTTGGCTTCCTCCTCAATACCAGATTTCCCCTTCGCCCCTTGCAGGACCTTACAGAGGATGCAGATGGACACTTGGAGGGAGTGCCCAGGAAATGTTAGTTCCCTTCGCCTTTGGAATGAAAAATAAATCATACTTCAAGAAGACTTCTAATGATGCCAAAAATAAAGTCTTTAGTTATATTAACTGCCACAATCCAGTAAGATAAAGGAAGAAAGTCTAAGAAGAAGAAAAAAAAATTAGAAATGGACAGGTAATCTACAGAAGCTACGATATAAATTAGCAAGAAAAGGTTTTCAATATTTTTAGTATTATGGGAAATATAATGCCTTTTAGCCAAAAGACTGACAACAATTTACAAGATTTAAAGAGAAACAGGCAGTTTACACACTGATGGAGTGCGTACAAATTGATCAAATCTCTTGGTGAGGAGGAAGAGCAATCTGGCCAAACTATCCATTTCAAGTTACCCTTTAACCCAGAAAAGGGTTAAAAGATCTACAAGACTGAATAATTTGTGAGTATTAACAAAAAATGTGGTTAGAGCAGAAAAGTGAAAACAACTGAAATGTCCATCAATAAAGAATACTGAATTACAGCAAACTCATATTCCAGAACAAAGACCCCTAAAAAAGAAAATTTTTTCAGACTGGTACACATAGCTTTCCAAAACATAACATTAACTTGAAAAAGCAAATCAGAAAATGTGTATAACGTGTCTAACTTTGTTTACACTGACTGCATCAAAGACCTCACCTTTGTGATACTTCAGTAGCAAAGAGTACATGAAGCACCCAGACGGTGGTTTTTAAGAATCATTCTCCACTGAAAGGAACCAGAACTCTAAAAAAATGGCTACAAGCTGACTCTTGAAGATTGTGTGCCAGAAAGCAAAGCAATCCTCAAAGAATAATGAGGGGCTCAGGCAGGTCAAGTCTGGGACAATTTAAGCAACAAAATTAAAGAATCAGACTATAAACTATTGGGGGGAAAAAAAACAACTCAGGGATGAGGAGATGGAAATCAAAGAATCACTATATAAAAGAGAAAGCAAAGTTCCTCCTTTGCTTTCCAAGTGATAAGTGTAAAAATAAATGCTGTAGCAAGAAAATTACCATCTGTCGACAATCATAATTGATTCAGCTAAGAATCATCAATGGATTCAAAAACTTGTGGGTGAAAGTATGAAGAGTAAGGGCATATTTACATAGTCTCAAATTATCTTCCTATGAGATACATATTAACTACAAAGGCAAGTATGGTAACTTATATGAGGGTATCTGGGAGATACAGCCTTTAATCAAGAGATCAAAGTTACATGGCCAATGAATGAGACAGTATATGACTCCTCTAAATGGACCACATGAAGATGGCAGCATTCCCCTGCACTGTTCCTACCAATAGTGTGTAACCTGAAGCTAATCAGGAGGAAAACTGCAGGGAAACTCAGTCGAGGGACATCCAAAAGCCAGACTACAGTCTTCAAAATTGTTAACGGCATGAAGTACAAAGAGACTTAGAAAGTGTTCCAGATTAAAGGAGACTACCCAGATATGGTAACTTAATGCTATGTATAATCTTAGATTTTCTTTTTCTATAAAAAGACAGTATTGGCAAGATCTAAAAAAGATTAAATAACCTATCAATATTTTAATTTCTTGAATTTTTAGCAGTTGTATTGTTGTTATATAATGTCCTCATTTTTAGGAACTACACAAGAAAGTATTTAGGGGTAAAGGACACTGCAACTTACCATTAAACAATTCAGAAAAAAGTAATCTCAGAATAAAGTAAATATTAACATTTGAAACTGCAGGTAAAAAGTATCTGGGAATTTCTTCTTTCAACTTTTCAGTGAATCTTAAATAATATTAAAATAAACAATAAAAGGTAAAACACAGATAACTACCTGGGGATTCAGTTAATCATGTCCTTGTGCCTAGAAGCAGAGACAAGACGAAGCAGGCTTGTCTGATGGTAATACTGGTCTCTCCAGAATATACTGTTCACACAGAGCTTCTGTTCCAAGACACTAGAAAAGCTGTTTGGACGGCTTGCTCAAGATGAGCTCATTAATCAAGTTCCACAAAAGAAGTAAAGGCATAATCAAGCCTTCTTCACAGCAGATTTGTGCTAGTTTTTTCTCAATGAAAACCAAAGCATTCTGACATCCTCAGGAGCTGATAATACTGTGAGGAACTGCCTTGAATTCATAATCTATAAAGGAGTTTTTCATAAGCAACCAGGATAAACAGTCCTGGTCCAAGTCTCTCCATCCACTCTGTCTTATTGGGTCTTGGGACATTAAGCCATGAGATGGAGGGTAGGGGTCAATTAGTCACAAATACCTTTCTGTTCCATTCCTCTGATGCATTTATAGGTTTGCTGGCTGAGGAGAACACTCCCAGGTAGGTAGCTGGCTAAAGGGACTTGCAGGTCAACAGTTCTTTTGTTATATACATTCCATCTCTCTGGTACTTCATAGTTTACAAAACAACTCTCAATGACATTTATTTCTCCTTTCCCTAAAGTGATATTTTTTTTAAAGATTTATTTATGTGTGCATACAGAACTGGGGTACAGGCCAGAGGCTCAGGGGCGGTGAGAGGCTTCACCAGAGACAGAGTGGGGAACAGAACAGGCAGATCGACCAAGTACATTGCTGAGGGGAGCAGCCGGTGGGTCAGGAGAGGTCTGCCACGCCATGTGGTCACCTACCGGGCAGGCGGGAATCAAACTCATGCGGAAGTGGCTTTTAGATTCTCAGTGCTGTGCTTTAACCCGCTGCGCCACCAGAGAGGGCTCCCTAAAGTGATTTTTTAAACCCTAATATTCAGTTTAACAACAATACAACAAAATATCCAGCTTCTAAGACAATGGATAAGTTGTAATGTCTACTTGACTTCAGGTGGTTAGGAGATAAGACCTATACTTGAGCACATAATAAACATTTGGCCACATGAACATAAGCCAAATGAAAATTATTAAGTAACTACTAGAATTAGTACAACTAATCCTATCATTGAGCTCAGTAGAAATACAGTCCTCCTTTCTCTCTGAAGCTGTCCAGCATCCATTCATTGAAGCCATCTCTTCAGGGAAAATCTTCCCAGGAACTCTGGCTTGTTTCTATGGAAGCATGTTTATAAGACACAGAAGAGAATGAGGCCTTCTGCACTTCTGTTCGTATGCGATGCATCCCTGGAGCAGCATCAAGGCCTTCTGGCACCAACCCTCCAACAAAACCACTCTGACCTTGCCACCTGGGGCCCATTATTCATCCAGCTACAAAGAAACCAATTAACTGAATCTTCAGGTAGAGCAAACATTTGAGGGTAGGAGATGTTAAACATAAGGCCCTAGCCTAGATCCAAAGGCAAAATTTCCATTCAGGAAAACCTGTCTTAAATAGGACAACCTATAGCCATGTTATATGTATTTTCCAATGTCAACAGCATCTAGATTACAAAACAAATTCAGCAAAGTAGGTTCTGTTCAAGCCTTTTAGAGATGAGAAGATTGAGAGTCAGGCTTAGTAAGTGGCAGATTCAAGGTTCACACCCAGGTCTGCTTATCTGTCCTCAAGCCCCCTGGCTAATCCATGGTCTGCATAATACATACTCTAAATGAAGGTGAATCAAGCAGAATTTCATTACAACTTTCAAGATGCCACCACACCCCCTACTCCCAGGTTTAGATACCTTAAGAGGCAAGTGACAAATCAAAATCTGCTCTTAAGTAGCTTCCCAATACAAAACACACGCAGTGGCAAAGCAAAAGAAAAGACCTTGGGCTTTACAACTGCATACTTTGTTCTTACCCAGAGGAATATCCTTAAGATCTGTCATTATGGATGAACTTGGGTCAAGAGGAACACATCATTATGTAATGCCAGAGGGCAGGTGACAAGGGAGAAGGAAGGCAAGGCCATCACGGTTTCCTCCATCCACAAAGACATAAATATTCCTTGACATGTTGAGTGTTCCAGTCTTCTATGTTCTACATATTATGACTGGTTTTTCAAGAGATGGGCACAGATTCTTCTATTCTCTCAGGCCTCGATTAATGGACCAGCAAAGCCAGAAAAATAAAATAGCAAAGACGGGACGAATGTTGCCAGGGAAGATGGGTTAATAGGGAAAGGAAGAACTGAGAGGATGGAGACCAGATTTCCTATACTGAGGTGTTTATTTTCACCCGGTTATGTTTACACCCCAAACACTGCGAGGCCTTCAGCGTCGGTAGTCACCAGATCCCACCCCAAAGACGCACCAAGCAGGCGCGACGACCTGGTCTCGAGGGCGCCGCGTCCTGCATCCGGCTCCCCGCCACCCGCTCCTCCTCTGCACCTGCCCCAAGCATGGGACAGCTCGAATCTTCCTGTTGAGGGTCAGCCAGGGCCGGATCATTCCCCCAAGACGCCACCGCAAGCTAACCTCTGGGTTCCACCATTTCCATGACAACCGCGGGCGCCGACTCCGTCCCGCGCATCGCGCATTCGGATGGGCGCCCCGCCCCGCTCCCGGTGCGCCCCGCTCCCGGTGCACCCCGGCTCCTGGCTCCACGCAGCCACCTCGTAGAGCGCCCCCCCGGACCAGCCCACCTACCTGGCGTGCCCCGGCCCGCGGCGCCCGCGCACAGCTGTCCCGCCGTCCTCGATCTCGCCGGGCCCGGCGTCCGAGCCCTTCAGCAGCGCCGCCGCCTGGTCCAGACTTCGCGGACTGTGACCCGGCTCCAGATGCTCGTCCTACTGCCCTGGCCCGCGACGTCCACCGACCGGGTCGCACACCTGCCACCTGAGCCTCAACTCGAGCCCCGCCCCGGCCGTCGCTGCAGTTCCTGAGGCCGAACACAGCCAAGCCTGGCCACCG